TCCCCCCCCCCCAAGGAAACAGTTTTTTTCGATCGTTAACCCCCTTTTCCCCCCCCTCCCGGACCCATTTTCCCCCCCCCCCCCCCCGGGCGCCCCCCTATGAAAATCTGTCCCCCTTTCCCCACCGCTCTTGTGGCCGGAAGATCCGAGATCCCGCTGACGTTTCGACTGGTGCCTTCGGTTTGGCTGTCGGCCGAAGCGGGAGTGCTCTCCTGCTCCGACTACGACACAGGGGCTCCCTTGCCAACCAGCAGCGCCGGCCGGACTATCGGGGCCTACGCGCACCTTCGAGTGCGCGTGGCTTTCCGGCCACGAGAGGTGAGAGCTGGTGTGCCTTGTAGGTGTTGGCGGTGGTGGGGGTGGTGGGGGTGGTGCTGTTGTCGCAGATGATACGGTGCTTATTTTTGTCCTGGTTGTTGTTGGTGTTATTTGTTGCTGTTGTCGTCGTCGTCGTTGTTGTTGTTGTTGCTGTTGTTGCTGCTGCTGCTGCTGCTGTTGCTGCGGTGGTGGTTGCCTTTGTCCTCGACTGCTTCCTGCGACGGCTGATGCGGCAGCACGCCACGAGGGCTTCTCCGCACTCGCAGAAAAGTTCTCGGACTAATCCTCGACACCGCCATCGGCCACAAGCTCTCGGTATTCTCAGATGGGAATCCGGGGCTCGTAAAACCCATCGACTGGCACCGACCTTTCGACCATCTCAGACCATGTGTCGTGCGCAAGTCTGGTGTTTTGCTTTGCGTGACCGATGTCAACTCATCTGTTGACGTCTGTCACGCGAAGCCAACCACCAAGCTAATCTCGACCTAGCCCGTCCAGAGCTACTCACAAATAGGACTTCCTGTTCCCCCGCAATGTACCAACTCCGTAGACACAGGCCCCTTAGGATTGGCTAAACGGCGACCCCTCTCGCCCACGGCCCGCATCTGTCGCCTTAAGTCAGTAGACTCACACACACAGCATTTCTGCCCTGTTTATGGGAGGTCCCATTACACGCATGAAACCTAAACCCTAACGTGACGACACGGTTGCAGGTAGGGGAGCGGGACTACCGAATTTTCGTGGAGAACCTGAACAACGTTGCGGACACGCTCGCCGTGGACATCCTGACCTCGGTCGTGTCCGAGGACCACCGGGAGGGTCTGCGGATAGAGACGGACAAGGACGGTCTGCTCGAAGGCGGAAGCGTCCTCCACTTCGACAAGTGCTACACGGGCATGCCGGTGTGGCGGAAGCTGCGGGTGAAGAACACGACGGTCCACGCCATGGACGTCAGCCTCGGCTCCGACAGACCCGGCGAGGTATGGGCAGTAGTCGCCTTCGCTAGGACAAGTAAGCTTGGCTTGAGTTGGAGGTACGGCGTTAGGGTTAGGGAAAGGGATACAAAACCTGACGCACCTGTGTCTGTGTTGCCTCGTACCCTCACCCCATGCACCTTTCCTCTTTCACACCTGTGTCTGCGCGCGCATCGGTGCATGTGTGCGTACGTGCATACGTGTGTGCGTACTTAGTGGTACAGTGGTGGCTACGGTTTAAGAGATGGTGGTGAATGTATGTATTTCTCATGGTCGTGACGAGCCAGTTTGACTCTCTTCAATCGGTACTTTATCTTAAATAGTCGCTCTTAAACCGTAGCCACCACTGTACTAGAACCGACCGCGCAAAAAACAGCGAACAGACGCCATCCTCAGTCGCGGCTAAGTGCGTGTTGCTGTGTGCTTTGTGGTGTCAGGTTGTGTTCGAGCTAGAGATGGACAAGGCGTCGTCGCTGCGCGCCCACCACCGTCGCCAAAGCATGGGCTGCAGCGAGGACGAGTCTTACGCCGCCGCCGCTCCAAGACGCGGACACCGCCGAAAACGCTCAGTTGGCGGCGGGGTCGGAAAAGGCGGCGGCGGCGGCGGTGACAGACGGTCTACCAGGAACGGCAGGACCGGTCGCAGCACTCCGGACGGCGGCAGCGATTCCGGGCGCTCTGGCGTGGAGGCCGGTGCCGACGACGGCGGCGGAGCGGCGGCGGCGGCGGCGGCGGCCCACCGCATGTCGGACGGGGGCGACGGGATTGGAAAGTTTTACGACTCGAACGAGTCGGGTCCCGGCTCGGACCGCGCGAGCAGCAGCAGCAGACTGTCGACCCGGAGCAGCGGCGGCGGGAGAGATC